TGAGTACATATTCGCCGACCGTGCGGTCGCTTCCATATCCAGTACAAGACAAACCGTTTTCGGTCACCCCGGTTTTTTTCCTGCGGGTGTTCCGAGGACGCAGTGTTTTCCGCAAAATGAAGCTTCCATATTCCCCTGTGCATTTCTTGCACTTCCTATGTACACGCTGGCTTGCTTTTAGTCCGGTGCCTCAACACAGACAGGCCGCTGATGAGGTGCAGAGAGCCGGACTCACCGGGGCCTGTTCGTCGGGCCAAGACATGGCGCTTCTTCTTGAAATGTGCATCTTGACGAGACTGCAAAAGGCCATGTTGTCTCAGAGTATTGACGACTTGCTTTGGCGATGTCTTTGCGGTATGTACAGAGATTGTATTGAATGGACATTCCCACATGAAGGTCGTTCGAGAAGGACCAACCCGCAAGTGGAAAGAATCCTTTGTTGTCTGGCTGTTGCAAAGGCTGTTTTCTGGCTCATGAAGTATGGCAAGACCCGTCGTGGCAGTGAGATCCTTCGCCTATTAGGCCGTGATGAGGCTCGCGCGTTCTCTTCGCCTGATGTTCACTCTGTAGCCAAGTTCTTGGACTTACAGAAAAGTGCTTTCCAACCTGCAGCCAACGATGACTTCTGTATGTATCAGTGGTTTTCTCCTCATTTCCGGTNNTCATCGAAAAAGTGCCCGCTATACTGCGGGGCCTACCAAAAGGCTCCATGAACATCTTCTGGCTACTTGTCATCGACATGCAAAGGATGCGGACAAGCTTCGGTATCGCATGGCACGCAGACAACCTGCTGACTTGTCCATGTTTCTGGTGGTCCAGCGAGGTCCCGAGACGCATATCAGGGCCTGTGAATGGCTTGACATCATCTCACATCGTCCGAAAGCCAATGGCTCCAGGATTCGGCCGCACAAGAAGTGTCGTCGTGCGAGACCCTTGCCGCAGTTTCGTGCCCGTGCTTGCCCACAAGTTCTTGTCGGTCACGAAGCTGAACGCAGGCTGGACAAGTACCGTCAGAAGTATGAGGCTCACAAGTCCCATGCAGACATTGCTGACGCCGGCCTGCCTGGGGCGTCTTTTCATTGCAGTTACACGACGGCTGTTCGCGCAGTATTTGCTCAAACAGGTTGCTTTGGTCCTCTTGACATTTTCTGCCCTTGTCACCGTGTGTTGCTTGCTAAATGGGTCGTTGCCGCTCGGGGGTGCATTGATTGGAAAGCTTTTGAGGCAAGATGGCGTACAGACTGTGCTGCTCCAAAGATCGCCGGCTTGCGGTCATCCCTTCACAAACCAGGTCAGTGCAGAGTCCTCCGAAAACGTCTTTGCGAGTACTTGAAGTTCAAGAACCTTCCTACAAAGCCTTTCCGTGTCCTTTCTCCTGATGATTCTTGTGCCGGCCCTCTTCGTCAAGTTTTGGTGGCTGCCATCAACCGAAATACTGCTTGGAACCAGGCAGAGAAGCAGTGGCTTCGCTCGCAGATTCGTGTTCAACCCGGCCGTGTGGAGACTTTCAAAAGTAAGTGGAACCATGTTGCTACGGCGCGAAATACAAGCACAAACACCGTCATGCATACGTCGGAAGAGTTCCAGCTGTCGGTCCTGGACGGAACTGCTTTGCATAAGCTTGAAAAGAATTGGGATGTGCAGTATCGTCCCAACGTCGCGGAGAAGGTTACATGGACCATCAAGGCTGCTGACGAGGCCTGGACAAACGCTGGCTGCCAACATTTTCCAAGCCGTGCCCTTCGGGAGGAAGTGTGTCGATCAGTTCAGAAGTCTACGCGACTCAGCCGCACATGCAGGCGCCAAGAAAAATCTTCAACTGAATATCTGGAGCACACCAAGCAGATGCGGTTCTTCCTCAAGCATGCCGCCGTCGTGCCTGATGACAAAGAGAGGACCACAGCGTGGTGTCTCGCACCTGTTGCGTACCAGTTGTTGTGTATCCTTTTCGTTCTTGTCTCAGACACATGGTACTTCGTACAGTATTCAAGACAGTCTGCCAACCAGATCTTATTCGATAGGGTCTCTGGTGTTCTTGGAGCGGCTATGTGCAAGCGTTTTGGAATCACTCCTCTCTCGCAGCTTCTACCTTATGTTTACTGCAGCATCAAATCGAAATGCTTTTGGGCGGGCCACAAGGCTCGTCGTGTTTGTGAACAAAGTGGCCACAGCTGTGTTCGGAAAATCTGCTCTTATTGGAAATGGCCCCGCAGGCGACTTTGGCGCAAGATTCACAAAGGAATTGATCTTTTGATAAAGCGCTTCAGCCCTGGTGCAGAAACTTGGGGTCTGTCAGATGCTTCGTCGAGGCTAAAATCTGGTCTGTCAAAATTACGACCAGGTGCTCGTCTGTGTGCTTGCCACCGATGCAACTGTCACAAGGCCCCGCTGACTGTGGTCGTTGCTGACGCCGGGCAGTTCTATGAAGAAGTTTCACCAGCAGCAGCGTGCAATGCGGTTACTGGGATTGTGCTCAAAGCTTCACGGGCAGGTTGGACTCATGTTGCTGTCCATCGAAGCTGCAAGAAGCAGTCATTCTTGTCTACTCGCGTCTCTCCTCCGATGGGTTCTGGTTTTGTGTGGTTTTCGCTGAGAGAGATTACCTGCGCGTTCTTCGCTGCCATGTGCGTTTCGTTAGTAAGTGTGGGCCATTTGGTCGCGTCCCTCAAAGGCCTGCCTATTGGGGGACTGCTCTCACGTGCTGCGACCAGCGCTTATCTGGCCAGTGCCGAGCAGTTCTGGTTTTCATCCAGTGCTTCAAGACATCAGGCTGGTTTTCGTTCTGTTTCTGGGTTGTGGAGAAACACAATGCTACATTTACGCTACATTGACGATGTGATCCTGGCCTCCAGAGCATTATGTAGACAGTGTTTGATGGATGTTTTCCCTATTGTCTACCCCGAGGTGTCCTTCAAGATTGCCCCAACTGGTAGCTCGCAAACCTGGCTCGACATGCAGATTGATTGCGTGACGGGTGACATTGCGCCCAAGCCGAGAAAACCTTGCACTCCGCCTCCCTGGGCTACTTCGAAGCAGTACATACGACCCCTCATTTTAGGGGCCATGCTACGTGCCACTGCCGTGTCTACGTCACCTCGTGCTGTTCGAGTGTTCATGCTTCGTTTTCTGGCAGGGCTACGAGAAGCCGGGTGGAGCAAACGAGTGATTTGCCACGCTTTGTTTACTGTGCATCGTGATCATCTTTTGCCTTTGTTGCGGTTCCTCCGAAAAGTTGTCCGCAGTGAAGGCTTCCAGAGACTTCTTCGCTGACTGCGGCCCTAGGGTGTTGCAGGGTATAGCGCCATGGCCAAGTTCCTACTGCTCACTTTGTGTCTCTGCGCCTGTCTTTCCAGCGCGCATGCTGGCTGGGGCTCAGATGAGTGGTCTGGCTGGTCCTCAAAAGGCAAAGGCTATGGTGGCTACAACCGTGGCTCCTTCAACTCAGGAGGAAAAGGATGGGGGAAAGGGAAAGCTTCCTCGTCTTCCTTCTCCTTTGAACGTGGGTTCATGGCAGGCCAACAGTTGGCTCAAGCTCAGGATTTTGAGGAGGTTGCTGCAACTTCAAAGCGTCGCCGTCGTCGTCACAGGCGCCGTGCTGCAGAGGATTCTTCAAACTCCACTACTCCGGAGACGACTCCTGAAAAGCAGAAACCCAAAGTGTCAAAGCTCAAAGACGAGCTGAAGGAGTTACGCTCGTACCGGCAACGCATGGAAAAAGCCCAGGCGGAGGAGGAGCAAGACAAGCAGCTCAAGGCCTTGGAAGCGAAATGCATGGAAGCAATCAGCCAGATCCAAAAGTCTTCGTCGACAGCTTCGTCTGTGAAGGGACAGGGCACAGCTGAAGGTGACGTCCACTCTCTGAGCGGAGTTCAGCGGAAGTTGGCGTCACGCATGTTCCGCGAGTACGACCCCGACTTTGAGCCGGAGACTTGGGAGCATGTGGCGGAGTTCATCCAGAGCATGTCCGGCAAGCACACTGCTGACTACTTGAAGACTGCACAAGTGCCAACGCCAAAGACCCTTAAGGACCGGACGACTGCGGTTCTCAAGCACGCGGCGGAAGAGTTGGACATTGCTCTGGAAAAGCCGTGAAACGAGGTCGCGACGCTGACAGTGCAGCGCCTGCCATCGAGCCTGCTGGGGCCCACAGTCCATCCCCTTTTGGACTGTAAGGTGCTCCTGGCAGCTTTTGGGGCGGGTTTTGTCTTCTGCAGCTTGTGGACAGG